ATATATATGAGTGTGTGCGTGTGTGTGTGTGTGTATGAGAGAGAGAGAGGTGCATTTGAGCATTTTACAACATTGGAACCATTACTTCTTGTCACTGTTGGATTCAAGGAAGTAGCAATATCCAGCACTGGTATGTGAAGATCAATTTAGCACATATTATGAGTTGGAAAGATATGTACAGACAGTACAGACTTTTTTTCCCCCTGCTACAAAGTTCTGCTCAAACTTTCATAGATCAAATCAGAGTCTTTTTTATCCTCAGACTTCCTTTTGAATACAGAGAATGCATATCTTGATAGGCTAACCCTGAAGAATGGTGTGATCTGTCAAGGAAGCCCCATGTATAAAACAAAGATTTTGCCACTCTTAAGAGTAAAAAGACTTACAGAATTACAACATTCTGTGACCAGTTTTCCTGTTTGTTTGTTTGTTTGTTTGTTTGTTTGTTTGTTTGTTTGTTTGTTTGTTTGTTTGTTTGTTTGTTTGTTTGTTTGTTTGTTTGTTTGTTTGTTTGTTTGTTTGTTTGTTTGTTTGTTTGTTTGTTTGTTTGTTTGTTTGTTTGTTTGTTTGTTTGTTTGTTTGTTTGTTTGTTTGTTTGTTTGTTTGTTTGTTTGTTTGTTCCAAAGTAGCCAGGTGTGACTCAGGTTAAGAATGTGTTGTAGTTAGAGAAGCCCTTCATTGTTTACCCTTCCCATTTTCCTTTCATATGGATGGACTATATTACAGACAGACTGATGGATGGATGGACAGACAGACAGACGGACGGATGGACGGACGGATGGATGGATACTTCTTCAGCAGGATAATAACAGCTTGGGGAGATAATTTAGACTAAGAAAACAACAGAGAAGGAAAAGCTGAAACTGTCTTTTTCCCAGTACTGTTTTTCAGATTCAGTTCTGACACTCTGTGCCTACTTGGATCTATATACAGGCTGACGGATGAGATCAAGCATAGGACTCCCAGGAAATTAACTAATTTGATCCCAAGAAAGAAGAAATGAAAGATCTCTATCTAAAGGGAGCTTTATCCAGAAAGTTGTTCACTCACCCATCTGAGTGAGGTTCATGAAGATATTTTATGTATTTTGCACCTCCTTTTTGCTTCATTAAATTCCACCCACCAAGCCACCCAATCTCCCAAAAAGAGGAACAGGATAAAACAGTGCAAATGTTTTCTCTTTTTAAAATGCTTTCTTGCCCAATCTATACAAGGATATGTATGTGTTGAATGAACCTCTGACAATGTTCATTTGGGATCATGAAATCCAACATGGAAGTAGAGTAACTATCATGTAATAGAATCTAGAATCTTCTGTGACTAATGAAAGATTAAAATTTAGGAGGGCATTTTTGTGTTCATCAGATTTTTCAAATTTATTTAATATCCTCCTTTTCTCATTCCTAACAACTCCATGGTCCTTTCCAGGAGGAAACTAGGCCTGCTGGAGACATCTTGCTAGGTGCCTCTCATCTTTGGTAGCACCACTGATGTTTCCAATTCTCTGCAATGTTAGAGTCTCCACACACATAATAGTAGTATGTAGTAATCCACATAGTAATCCATCAAACAGATCTTTGATATCTGATGTACATATATCTGTAGTTTACTCAGTGGCTTCTTTCAAGTTAACAACAGCAAACCAATTAGACACTCAGGAACTAATGTTAATTAAATAAATAAAGGCATAACTGTGTGTATATATCAGATAGCTTATATACTCCAAGAGCCACTTGATCAGCTCATTCACATTGACATCTTAACATAATGCTTAAGCATTTGGTATATGTAAAAGGAACTTTGGAGACAGAATGTATACTTATATTGTGACTTTCCCTGTTTTTCATGTTGAACTGCTCTGCCATTATTTCCCTTCTGGTTTCTTAAACCAATATATCCCAATGGTTTGCCCTGCTTAACATTAATCCTCTCTTTACTTTGATGAAGTTCATATAAAATTGAGTGTCAAAATTTAGTATGAATCTACAGGCTTTACTCAGAAATTTATTGCTTCCAGCTTTGCAAGACAGATGGTATTTGAAGTTGTGTTAAAAAAATATTGCAGTTTATACCTGATGTGATGGGTGAGTGTTCTAACATTTATTAGGACATCTGCATCAAAGTGCTTTTCATGTTTGTTTGGAAGTTACCAGACTTCCCTTAGCCTCTTTTCTAATAAGCTTCTGATCATCATTTCCCCAAGAATATTAAACAATGAGGCTGTTAGGAGTTGACAGTCCAGATCGTTAAAGCCAAGGAAGAAATGTGAGCTCCCCAAACCCAGATAAATTTAAAATAAATATTCCTAATATTAAAATGAAGAATGCATTGTAAGAAATT